TTCTCTGTGGAATGTTTCCTGTCTTGTCCGCCTCCAGGGTTCTCTGTGGAATGTTCCATGCCCTGCCCCCCTCCAGGGTTCTCTGTGGATTGTTCTGTGTCCTGCCTTCTCTACGATTCTCTGTGGAATGTTTCCTGTCTTGTCCCCCTCCAGGGCTCTCTGTGGAATGTTCCAGGCCCTGCCCCCTCCAGGGCTCTCTATGGAATGTTCTGGGCCCTGCCCCCTCCAGGGCTCTCTATGGAATGTTCCAGGCCCTGCCCCCTCCAGGGCTCTCTGTGGAATGTTCTGGGCCCTGTCCCCTTCCCACACTGATCCTCTGTCTGTTCTATGTCTGTGTCTATGTGGTGTCCTAGGGGCCAATTCTTGACTAAAGGCACCGGGGAGACGTCTTCAGGTTAGAGAATACTGGGTGGAGTGAGAAAAGGGTGGTCTCTGAGCTTAAAGACCCCCGTCTGGGCCCTGTCTCTGTGTGGGGAAATGGCTCTCCTCAGACCCCAGCCCAAGATGCACTGGCCTGACCCTGCAGCTGTCATGGGATGGGCACCTAGCAGTGGAAAGCAGAGATCTGGGGCTGTGCTGACCAGCCCCTCTGGGCCTGACCCAATGTGCCCTTCACTTCCTACCACACACTCCTCACCCTCCCCGTACCTGTCCTCACCTGGCTTCCCGTTGTCAGGAAACAGTGGCCGTGTTTCGGTGAGTCTCTGTCCTGTGTGTCCCGGCTCAATATCTGAGCATCTGTGCCCCTCGTGAGCCTGGCCCCCAGGAGGGCAGCCCAAGTGCCTCACCAGGTAACATCCGCATGTGGCCAACCTCCAACTTCAGAGACCGGCCTGAGCAGGGGTCCTCAGCACTTCAGCAGTGGGGTCCCTTCCCACTCCTGGCCCCTCTGATCAGGAGCCACATATGCAGTTACTAAAAGTTCATTAAAACCACATCAGACAACACAAGTCTAGAATAGTCTATACCACCAATCAAGGGCCAGGCCGGTGCATCTTGGGCAAATCAGCTGTGCTGAGAGTTATGAGGGAGCAAAGATGACCTGGGGTTAGCCAAAATGAGAGACTCTAGGTGGGCACCATGCAGCAGGAACGCTCCATGTTTAACCCTTTTGAAACTAAATGGTTTGCGACTTTGAATTTTTTGTTAGAAGTTTTTTTGTCCAGTAATGGAAACTATTTTGAAAGAAACGGGAAACAAAGTTTTTTGAGGTACTATGGATTTTTATTCAGTAAGTAGGACACGTTTTAAGGAGTCTCTGGTCTGTTTGCTCTCATTCACACAGCTCTATAGGCCCCACCAGATGGTACCGTATGTGAAAAGTGGAATAAACCCCAGAGATGGAAAGTGTAGGTAGGCACTGGCTGTCCCATGGTATAGGATGGGAGGAGATGTCTTAGCTGAGCCTGTGTCTCCCCGGAGCTGAGGTCACTGGGCTCCTTGAACGAACAGTTTTCATGCTGGGGGTCGTCATTAAGTGCAGAGAGGACCCTGAGGACAGTGAGATCATTTTGCTATTTACCGTCTTCACTTTGGTTTAAAGCTCTCTGATACAGACAGACATCAGCAGGCCCTTTGAGTTGGGGAGCGTGACAAGTCTGGGGCGCTGTTAAAGGTTGTCGGTGCCTTTTCTACAGAATCTTCCCAGGCAGGTTCGTGTCTACCTGGTCAAGGACTTCTTGCTAGCAATACAGATGGTTCCTTCAAGACCCGAGACGAACCCCCCAAAGAGGGACTGACTTTGGCCAAATCCTTTGAGGTGCAGGTGCTGGGTTACCAGATGCCTTCTCTTTAGCTGACCAATAGCTAGTACCAGATACTGCCTTCTGTTGGATTGTGGGGCCAGCTGGGTGTGGGGAAGCCTCACTGCTTTGTAAACCATACTGCACATTTTCCCCTAAAATGTGTGCGCTGCAAACCAAACCTTGGCGGGGGGTGTGCACCCTCACCTTGCCCTACACAGTCTTAGAGCTATGTATTATTTGTTTGTTTGCATGATCAGAGCAAAAAAAATAATACATCTTTGAAAAGACACCAACCCTAACTCTGTCTTTGGAAGGAAAAGGTATTTTTGGAGGAAAGAAAACAGGATTTCTCTCCAAAAATAGAGGCCTCTTTTCTTTTCCAGGCCGGTGCAAGACTTCCCGTGAAGCCCTTCCCACGATGCTTCCCCATCCGCGGGGCTGCAGGCGGGCAGGGCCAGGGCGCCGGGCAGGGCCTCGGTTTCCCACGCTGCCTGGCCCAGCTGCGGGTTGCGGACTAACTCTCCTCTCCTCCTTTCCACTAGAGGTCGCCTCAGCAGAGAGCCCCTGTGTGGATGCTGCCCCGGACACTCTAGGTACCGCGGACCCCGCACGGATGGCTCTGCTGCACGGCTCTCTGTCCCTCCCGCCCACTCTGCTTACTAGAGGCCCTAGACAGGGACGGGCTAGACCCTCTCCGCCATCACATGGCTCCATTGGCCCCATGGTGGGGGCGGAGAGCTCAAGTGCACTCATAACAAACAGCTTCCTGATTTGGGGAGCGGGGCGAGGGGGCCGCCATGCCCAGCTCTTCTCTGCTCGAAGCCAAGGGCTGCTGGGGTCTGCACCCCACAATGGCACCTGTGCCTCCTCATGTCCCTGTTGATGCCATAGGGCTGGTCTTCTGGCCTGCAGGTCTAGCACCTCTACTATGCACCAGAGGGCTCTAATCCGTCCCCAGGGAGCTCCCATTCTGATATTCAGAGAGCCGAGGTGACCCCCTTCCTTACACAGCCCTCATGAAGACTGGACACAGGTGGGGCGAAGGCCTCTTCTCCTCACCCTCTGCACTGTGGGGTCCTTACCCACCTTCACCCACTCCACCCGCCTCCCGTCTCTCCTCTGTCCACTGTCTGCTCTCTGTGTGTTGCTTGCCTCTCTACCCCCAATCTCTTCTGCCCTTCCCTTTTCTTCTGGTGATCCCAGAATGTTCCGGAGCTCCGTGTGCATGTGGTTGGTGGATGCCAGCCCGACAGCCACGGGGCCAGGCATCAGGGCCCAGCATGCTTGTGCATTAGCATCCGCATGTTCTAGAACCATCTCCACTCATGGGCAGCTCAGGGCCCTTCCCCAGTCCTCCATGACTTCCACTTGTCTCTCTCTGCTCGCTGCCTGTTGGTCTTGGAGGTTGACGCTTGTGGGGGACTGTGGCAACCCCAGAGGCAAGCAATGAGGCCTTGGGGAGGGGTGGTCAGGGTGAAGCTTGCTTGGGCCTCGGCAGACCTGTCCTGCTTGCCCTGAGCTTATTACCGAGTGCTGCTGACCACAGGTGTGACTCTAGGACAGGGGTTGTGACCAGGCTGTGTGGTAAACAGGGGTCAGGAGGTTGGCCCCGCCGTGTACAGCCTTTGTCCCAAACGTCACTTCCTTCTCCTGGCTCTTCTCCAGGTACCCTGGCTGACATGGGCCCCACATTCCAGATGTTCCGAACCTGTCCTCCCTGTGGGTCCCTGGACATCAGAGTTCCATCTTTGGGATGCAGGCAGAGGAGGAGGGCTTGCCTTTCAGTGTCTGTAGATTCTACCCACTGTCTTGTTATGGGAGGTCTAGCCTCAGGCTGGTGGGGGCCAGGAGTGAGTGAGGCCTCATGGGCACAAGCGGATTTGGGGGCTGCTAGGGGGTAGGGAGCACTGGGTCAAGAGCAGCTCCTCTCAAGTACACAGTTGTGATTGTGGGGCTCCGGTGGGGGAATATGTGTCTGGGAACCACTCGCTCGCCGCCCCCACATTCTACCTGCCTCTGGGAGGGCCTCGTGTAAGTCTGAGGGGAGACCAGAACCAAGAGTCAGATAGTGCTGCCCCATGGGAGCAGCAGCACCTGCTTTTGTCTTGTTAGGGCCCCAGCGCTGCTCTCTCTCAGTGGGCCCGTGGGCCTTGGGGACTCTGAGGCAGAAGCTGACTCTTGGGATAGGACAGGAGGGGCCTCATTTTGCAAGGCCAGCCTGAGCAGGCTGTCCATGGGCCCACAGGACTGGAAATGAGCAGTGCTCCTCAGGCTGTGCTGAAGGTTCTCAAAGCAGCGGCCATGAGCAAATGTCACGTGGGAATTGCTCTCCTCTTGGGCAGAGGCTGAAACAGCCCAGTGGAAAGGAAGCAGGTAGCCACTTGACCGTCACGTTTGGTGTTTCCCAGAAGGAGGCCAGAGGCCACATACCCTGCTATGGGTGCACCGTGGCCTGAGCACCAGGCCTCAGTCTGTCCCTCTCTTCTGCCTGCGGGGAGGTGTCAGAGCTTCCTGGAAGCAGGTCATCTTCATGACTGCCGAGGGGTTTTTCTACTTCCTCCACTCAGCTGCCTCCTCTGTGCGACAGACAGTCTGGCCACATCCTGGGCTCAGTGATCAGAGGAGGCCAGGGGCGCCCACATTGCTCCCCCAAAACAGAATCTGTGGTTCAAGGAATCAGTGTGGTTCTCTGCGGTCATGATGTGCCCTGGTTAGCAGGTTATTGTTTAGCCCGGGGGACTCTGGTGAGGGGCAGGTGGCACCCCGATCGGGGCAGGTCCTTGGCAGAAACCTACAGGCAAGGCTTGTGTCTTGTGTCCCTTCCCTGACCCAGACTGTGCTGGTTGACGAGGTCAAGCATGGGCCAGGTCCGCCATTGCAGGGGGTGCAGTGGGGAGGGGGCATGGTCACATACCTCATGTGGAAGAGGAGTATGGGGGTTCATTTTGCCTGAGGGTGCTCCTGAGAGGAGAGGTGATGGGGGAAGAGAAGGCAGCACGCGGAGTGGGTTCTGAGTTTAGGGTTACCGGAAGTGATTAAAGAGTCCATGGTGCCTCCTCCCCGGCACCAGTCATGGTTCTTGCTGTCCTCCGGTCCTTCTGTCTCAGGGCAGCTGCTCTGATATCTCAGCCGCTGGGCCCCTGGCTCTGCAGCCAGCATTCCCACTTGTCCTTTCAGTGACTTGTCCTGCTGTCTCTCTGTGTGTTTGTCTGTCTGTCTGCCCTGGAGCAGCCAGAAGGTCAGTTTGAAAGACCGTGTCTTCTCCAGTCCCCGAGGCGTGGCCACCAAGGGGAAAGGGTCCCCTCAGGCCCAGACGGTACGGCGGTCCCCTAGTGCTGACCAGAGCCTGGAGGACAGCCCCAGCAAGGTGCCCAAAAGCTGGAGCTTTGGGGATCGCAGCCGGGCACGGCAGGCCTTCCGAATCAAGGGCGCGGCATCAAGGCAAAACTCGGAAGGTGGGTCGCCCCCACAGAGCCCCTTCCCTTGACGAAGGCAGCCACGCTGTGGTCTTGTGCAGGCAGTTGATGGGTTCTCTCAACTCTTGCTCTGTGGGCATCATGGCCTCTTGTGTTGGAGAGTCTCTTAAGCCGTGCCCCCAGATGTGGTCCAAGGCGGGGAAAGGCTGCTGAAGGCAGGATGGAAAGGGGGCGGAGAAGGGAAGCCCTCTGAACACCAAGCCAACCCCCAGGCCTCTCCCCTGTCCTGAAGCCCCTCTCACCCACTGCTGTTCTTCCGCTCAGAAGCTAGTCTCCCCGGGGAGGACATTGTGGAGGACAACAAGAGTTACAACTGCGAGTTTGTCACGGAGGATCTGACCCCTGGGCTCAAAGTCAGCATCAGGGCTGTTTGGTGAGTGTGTCTGTGGCTGGGCCTGGGGGCCCCAGGGGGGCTGCAAGGGGACTTGGGGAGGGAATTGTTAGGGAGCTGCCTCATAGTCAGAGCCACCAGGACAAAAGGAGGCAGACCCGAGTGGACCTGTCATCCGGCCCCAATGCCTGGTGTCTGCTTAGACCTGCAGGTGCTCCAGGGAGAGGTCTTGGTGAAGTCTCCCAAGTCTCCCATCAGGGTGCAGTGTGTTCATGAGCCAGGGTCCTGGACCGATGAGGGTCTGCAGCTGTGGGTGAAGCTGGTATGGAAGAGCAAGTTCAAGGGACGGCTGAAGGCAGGGTGGGCAGGCTGACCTGGCACGTGTGGCCTCTCCGACCTTCCCTCAGTGTCATGCGGTTCCTGGTGTCCAAGCGGAAGTTCAAGGAGAGCCTGCGACCCTATGACGTCATGGATGTCATCGAGCAATATTCAGCTGGCCACCTCGACATGCTGTCCCGCATCAAAAACCTGCAGTCCAGGCAAGAGCCCCTGCCCGGTCCTGCAGGGGCCAAAGGGTGTGCTGGCCACATCTGGGGGGTTATCTCGGGGGGCAGTGAGGGAACAGGGATGGGCTGGCGGGGGTGCGGTAGAGAGCCCTGCTCCGCTGCCCACCCTCTGCGTCCTCCCCTGCTCGCTCAGCCTCACCCTCTAGCTGTGGTTGGCTTTCTGCTCTACCTCTTATAGATGTGACCTGTGTTTGTGTCTGTGAGTCTCTGTTCTCAGCCCCTTCTATGTGCACACAAGGGGGGGGCACACCTGTACATATGTGTATATGAGCACTTGGATTTATATGTGTGCACATGTACCGGTGTGGGTGTGGGTGACTGTGCAAGGTAGGTGTTTGTGTGTTCACACATACTGTGTGTGTGCGGGTCTGTATGCACACTTGTGTATGTGTGTAGGTATAGACACAGGTGTATATGCACAGATGTGTGTACACTGTGTATGTGTGAAATGTTGTCTGTACATACACATATGTATATGGGTGCACATATATATACATGTGGTGTGTGTGCACTTGCAGGCCCGTATCATGTATGTGCATGCACATACATGTGAGCATGACTGTTTGCATGTGTATGCATATACGAGAGAGCTTCAAAAAATTCATTAAAAAATTCCACTACCTTTTAATTTTACCTTTCTGTGAATTTTTAAAAAGCCCTCATATGTGTGTGCATACACAATTCTGCATGTGTACTTGTGTGCATAGGTATGCATGCAGCGTGAGGGTGCACTCATGTGTTGTGTGTGTCTTCACATACATGTCCATGTGTAGACACACATGGACACGTGCACCCATGTTTTCTGTGAGTGCACAAATGTGCAAGTGTATGAGTCTGGGTGTGTTTGTGTGTGTGCACGCCTGTGTGAATCATGTTTGTGTGCATGTGGCTGTGCGCATGCATGTTGTTTGTATGTACTTGCATGTGAGATGAAGCCTCAGATTTCTGTGGTCCCCACCAGACAGGAGTCACTCTTTTTCCAGAATAGAGGGATGTCCATCCTTCTCACCTATACTGGGGAGTCTCCCTTACTGAGTAGGAAACTGGGGTGAGAAGTATGTCTGAGGGCTGGCTCCTTGCCAGGCACCTTAGGGCTGTGCTGTGTGCAGCCTCCGTGTGTGAGAACCCTCAAGTATTCCAACAGTCAGGGTACAGACGCAGCTATCCACGTAAATGAGGACCCATGCGCTTGTGTGCACACATGTGGTGTTCCCTAGAGCGCTCACACACATGCACACGTATGCAAATTTGCATATAGATGTCTAAATGCACTGTGGTTGTGCGCACGCACACACGCATCCCTACACTGGTACACACACATTCAGGCTCCTATCTTCATTCCCACATACCGTGTACATAACTCACACACCTAGGCATACTGCTCTACACAGGTAAGCACCACACGACTGCAGGTCATGTGTGTGTATGAAACCTGAGACAGGCAAAGAGTTGTTCCAGCCGCTACCCCTAGCCCTTCAGAGAGACTGAGGCAGGTCCCCACCCTGGAAACTCAGACCCTGGCTACAGGCAGAGGCTGTGACAGAAGAGCCTCAGTCTTGGGGAGTCGGGATACCCCCTTGGTGGAGTGTCTGCCTTCACACTGTTCCCATTGAGCAGGGGTCCAGAGGTGCTCCTCCCTCTGCTCTGTGTGCAGTCTGGGGTGGTTCCTTGCTTAGCACCCCCCACAAACATTGACTACACTTGAGTGCTGTGCTGTGCATATGACCACACACGTGGTGCCAACATTGTGTGTGTCCCTGTGTGAGGGAGTATGTGCTTGAGCAAATATTCCAGCATCTCCACTGTGGTGTGTGTTTCTACAACTCTGTTACAACTGTGCTGTACACATGAGCACATATTTGATGCTACTCCTGTGTTTGTGTGTGAAGGAGCATGCATGTGCAAGGGTGCTTGTGAGCGAGTCTATGTGTAGGGAGTGAGAGAGTACGTGTGATCAGCATGTGTGACAGTGTGTGTGTATCTGTGCATGTGTGTGGTGAAGACAACATTGCAGTGGATCCACTCTGGTCCGTGTCCCCACATATCTCTCACTTCAGCTGTTTTTGTCCATCAGGCTCTTCTGTCCTAAGTTCTTTCTCCTTCACTATGTCTGGAAAGACAAACTAAACTCTCCACCCAGGAGCCCAGGATGTCCCTGCCCTCTGCTGACAATGAATTACATGTTGTCTATGGCCAACACCTCTGGTATTTGCTGCCCAGCTGCAAATCTACTCCCAGCTCTGCATGCTGGTGGCTTGGCAGAGACCTGGGAGGTTCTGCAGCGAGGGAGTAGGGCTGCCGGCCCCCAGATCCCTGAGCCGAGCGCTTTGCTTGAACACCGGAAAGATTTGGCAAATCCGCGGTCAAGCAAGTGTGGCGCCGACTGCTTTGTGTTTCTAGCATAATCGATTTGTAAGAAATATCACTGTGTGGTTTTCAGTTGGGTTGGCCCTTCTGTTTCCACCAGTATCTGCCCACTTCTCCTACATCTTGCTTCACGATGCATTTTGCTGGTGTCTTTTCTCTTGTTCACGCTGCCAGGATAGATATGATTGTGGGTCCCCCACCCCCTTCAACTCCCCGGCACAAGAAGTACCCCACGAAAGGACCCACAGGCCCTCCGAGAGAGTCACCCCAGTACTTTCCTAGGTTAGGACACAGTGCCGATACTGTCTTTGTGGACCAGCCTCTTCTGCTCCAAGCCACATGACGCAGCGCCTCACTCACCGCCCTCACCCTGATGGTGGCACTTAGGGTGTCCCTTTCCCCTTAAGGCAGTACTAGGGGAGGGGCTGCCTCCTCCGGGGCTGGTGGGTGATCAGGAGAGCTGAGCTGTCCAGCACCTCTTGCGCAGAGTCCTGTAGGAAGCTGGACTCCTCTCTGTAGACTGCTGTGTGCTATCTGCCTGGAGCTGGTGGTTTCCTCTGAGGAAGTGGGGAGCAACTCCTCCTCACTCAGCACCCACATATACCTTGCTTTGGGACCTGTGTGTGTAGCCCCTTGGACCGTCTGCTGCTTGGGGTGACCTAGGTGTGTGTGGGGTGTGTCTCTCCCTGAACCGCTGTTCTCCTGTTCAATGTGAACGTGAAGGTGGCGGCAGTGCCTGTGGAGGGCACCGCCCCGAGCAGCATGGAGCTGCACCCCAGGATCCATCAGCATTCCTCTCAGTACAGAGGAAACCCACCTCATGGCCTGAGGGTTGGGCACAGCTAGGTGGTGAGTGAGCAAGAGAGGTTCCTAGTGGGGATTTGGGTCTTTACAAGCCTTCTTGTCTCCCTGGGACTGTCTGATGTTGTCTGTGCCCTCCAGATGTGATGCTGTGGGATCAGCACTGGATTGCTGACCACAAGGTTGGTGGTTCAAACCTACCAGCCACTCATTGAAACCCTTATAGAAGGTCGCTATGAATCAGAACCGACTCCGTAGCATTAAACAACAGCAACATGACCTTTCAGGCATGTCACCTGCTGAGAGAGAGCCTGGGGCAAGGGTGAGGGGGGAGAGAGAGGTCGGGGCAGAGCTGAGTGGGAGAGAGAAGGAGAGAGTGAGCTCAGGGAAGGGGCTTGGGGAGGAGATGACAATACGTTTCTTAGAGGCCCCTGCTGACCTTCAGTCCCTGGCGGGCCCTGGCCTTAATCCTGGTCAATGAGCAGGCCTGCGGCGTCATGTGGCATGGATGGAGGTGGTGAGCACCATGCCTGGATCGTGTTGACCCTTGGAAAGACCAGAGTACCCTCAACCCATTTCCACGTCATCTGCTTGGAGCCAGTGTCCCAGCCCTGCATGCGTGCATCTGTGCATGAGCTCAGGAGCATGTGAGCTGCACCGTGGCTGTGGGGACCGTCGCTTCTGCTCCTGCAACAGAGAAAACGATCCAAATTGCCCCCCCTCCCCCCCTCCAACAGCATCCCAGAGAGGGGCAGACAGGGCTGGGCTTCTGGGCTGGGCCAGGGCAGCCCCTCCCCACCAAGGGCCCTGGGGAGACGGTACCTCAAGCGCCATCTGAGGTGAGCCCGGGAAGTGGAATTGGCCAGCTTCTCTGTGGTCTCTGCCTGGCCCTGCCCTACTTTGTTCCCTCTCAGGAAAGATGAGCCTTGGAAGGCTGCCCAGTGTCTGTCTGTCCATTGAGGGTGGCTCAGGGCTGTGCACCCATCCATCCTAGAGTCCTGTTTGGTCACTCGGCAGATTCAGAATGGCTTCCCAGTGAGGTGCTTCTGAGCAAGTGTCTGAACCCAGCAACCCCTTCCCAAATCCACTATTACGTGGCACCTCCCAGCCAGCGTACCTGCCCAGAATCCCTGCTACCATGCTGGTCAAATAAGTGCCCCAAGAGGACGAAATTCCCCTCCCTTCATGGTACTGGTGGTCTTGTTTGCAGTAAATTCAACTGGATTTGGATAGGATACACTTGTACACACACATGCACACTCATACACAAGCACATGAGTGCACACAAGACACACAGGAACAACACAGAGCTAAGCACACACATGAATCATGCATAGAGTCAAGCATGGACACATGCACACATATGAGGATGGACACATGGGCATGCATGTGACCATGCACCTGCACATACATGGACACTCAGACACACACAGCTTCTGCATGTAGTACACATGTGAAGATGCATGTAAGCACATGTGGGCGTGTACACACCAGAGCGCTTGTGTACACAGTCACAGGTATACACGAGCACGTGTGAACAATAACACATGTGCACACATGAACATGGACACATGAGGAGACACAACTATGCATGCCTGTGCACGTGTGTAGGCACACACAAGCACACATGCACGGAGGTGTGGGTGTGCACACATGCACACATATGATTACACATATGCACACAGGAGTCCATGCTCACATACATGAGCATGCACAGACTCTCTGGTTGGCCATGGCTCTGTCTCGTTCTTCTCCGTCTGTGTGTGTGGTGGTCCTGTGCTGCTCTGTGCTGCCCCTCCCTGTCCTGTGCATGGAGCCAGGCTCTCATGCCTTCTGCTTTCTTGATTTCTGCTTCAGACATTGAACTCTATTCCCACCAGACTCCGGATTGAACTGACTCCTCTCAGTGGCACATTATGTAGGAGTAAAGCTGGGATTGTGGGAGGGTGTCGGGGTGGGCAGGAGCACCTTCTAGAGCAGGGGAGGTCTTAGTGTGGCCACGTCCCTGTGCTGTGTGCCCGTTAGCTGCCCCTCCACCCTCGGTTGCCTAGCAGGGTGCAAGCACAGTGACTAATGATGACAGGGGGGCCCCTGGGGGTGGTTGAGGATGCAGGGCTTGGCCAGGCCTGGGAACCCCAGCTTGAGAGGGGCAGTGGGAGGAGCAATTGGCCCAACACCTATTCCCTTCACTTTACTCCTTGCTAATGTGCCCAAGTGCTCTGGGGTGGCGTCCGGTGTCCTGGGCTCCAGGGAGCCCGGGCCTGGGGGCTGTGGCTTGGCCCAGTGTCACCTGCCTCTACTCATGCTGGGGGCATCTCTTCCTGGCAGAGTGGACCAGATTGTGGGCCGAGGCCCAGCCATCACTGACAAGGACCGCACCAAGGGCCCAGCTGAGGCAGAGTTGCCTGAGGACCCCAGCATGATGGGGCGGCTGGGCAAAGTGGAGAAACAGGTGAGTACTGGGGGCTCTTGGTTTTCTTCTGGGTGTGCTGTGGAGGTTCAATGGGGGTGTTGTCAGGGACCAACAGAAAGATAGGAAGCAGGTGGGTGCTGGGAGTTCTGGGGACTCTCTGGACTCAGGGTCTCTGAGTGACCCCATTCAGGCACTGGTGTCAGCTGACCCTCAGACTCACTGCTTGCCTAGGGTGAAACTCCTGGGGGCACTGAGGAGTCAGGCCAAAGTTACCTCTGGGGACCTCACCTGGCTGGGATCCCCCGAGCCCCATCCTCAGAAACCACTTGCTCATGACCTCCTCTGGGGTCTGCTCAAGGATCCAGCTGAGGTCAAGAGCAAGGGAAGAAAAGCTAGTCCAACCCTGCAGTTGATCCCAGTGGGTCCCAGGCTGGGCAGCATGGTGGGGGAGGTACCTCTGGTCTCCACCTGATGCAGCCACAACCCCCCCCCCCGCCCTTCCCCCAAGGTCCTGTCCATGGAGAAGAAGCTGGACTTCCTGGTGAACATCTACATGCAACGAATGGGCATTCCCCCAACCGAGACTGAGGCTTACTTCGGCGCCAAAGAGCCCGAGCCAGCGCCGCCCTACCACAGCCCAGAGGACAGCCGGGAGCAGCTGGGAAGGAACGGCTGTGTCGTCAAGGTGGTGCGCTCCACCAGCTCCATGGGCCAGAAGAACTTCGCGGCACCGCCCGCTGTGCCCCCTGCTCCATGTCCACCATCCACCTCCTGGCAGCCTCAGGGCTGTCCGCGCCAGGGCCCTGGCTCCTCGCCCGTGGGAGACCCCGGCGCGCTGGTGCGAATCCCTCCACCGCCCACCCACGAGCGTTCATTGTCGGCCTACAGCGGGGGCCACCGGGCCAGCGCTGAGTTCCTTCGGCATGAGGACTCGATGAGGCCCCCGGAGGGCGGCCTGCGGGACAGCGACACGTCCATCTCCATCCCTTCCGTGGACCACGAAGAGCTGGAGCGTTCCTTCAGCGGCTTCAGCATCTCCCAGTCTAAGGAGCACCTGGACACGCTTGGCGGTGGCTATGCGGCCGTGGCGCCCTGCGCCAAGGTCAGGCCTTACATCGCCGAAGGCGAGTCTGACTCGGACTCTGACCTCTGCACTCCGTGCGGACCTCCGCCTCGATCAGCCACTGGCGAGGGCCCCTTTGGCGATGTGGGCTGGGCTGGCTCCCGGAAATGAGGCTGCGTGCCCCTCCCTGCCAGTGCCCCTGATGTTTCTTAGAGTCTGAGGGTCAAGAGAGGTCCCCCTGCTGGGGTCTGGCTCTTGTGGGGCCCCAGGGAGGGGCTCAGACAATGTCCAGCTTTACTAGCTCCCGTTCCCATTAAGGGTCAAGGCGGCAAGGCGCTCAGTTCCAAGGACTCTGTGTGGCCGCTAGCCAGCTTGTGCCCCTCTACTCTGGAGCGGGAGGGGTGGCAAGCAGGGTCTGAGGGCAGTTGGCATCTAGGGGCAGGCCTTTCCCACCAGATGACCGGCCACTTGGAGGCTTGAGAGGGAAGGCGGTGGATGCCAGCCACGCTGGACCCGGGTCTCTGAGTTCCCTGGGCAAGGGTGAAGCAGTTGGTGTCCTTCCATTTCTGCTCTGCCCTGTCCTCGGGCATCTTGTCTACGAAGCTGCAGGTCAGCACCTTCTCTGTCTCCTCCTGGCCCCAAGGAGCCTATGGTGGAAGCAGTCAGACCCCACAGCCCTCGTGTCCAGGCCTTGGGGACCACACCAGAGTCATGCAGTGACCCTCTGACATCTGCCCATGGCCTTTCTCTTGGGGAGGGGGCTCTCTGGCCATGCCCTGAGCTCCTGGATCTACATGTCACCACAATGGGGGCAGTGACACTGGGCAGTGGAGGACCAGGCACCCCCTTTGTCCTCTCTTTTACTGGAGTGGGGGTTGAGCTGTTGACTAGCACCCCGATGGAGACCCCACCATAGAGGGTGGTGATGATGTGGGGCCAGGTGGGCAGGGTGTAGGCAGGAAGACTCTTGGCTGTCAGGTGGTCCGGGGCCTACCCCTGACCAGTCTCTGGATGCCTGTCATTACCCAGCTGTTCTCGGACCTCTGGACAGGATGTGGGGTGGGCCAGGGAGATGCTGTCACCAGCAGGGACCAGGCTCCACATCACTGGGCGGGCTAACCCAGTCTTTCCCAAGGTGCCCTCCCGCATCAGCCTGCTGGCCCTCCCCTCCCTTGGACCAACCCTGGCTGTAACTGCTGGGTGCCACGTGCCACATCCTCAGTCACTTCCCTTGGCCTCTCTGCCTGGGAGTCAGAACCCCCACTGGTCCCACTGCCCACCTTCCACCCCATGCTGAGTCCTCCATAGTAGTGCCAAGCGAATGTCTGCACTTTGGGTGGTGTGACCTACAGGGCTGAAACCAGGGTGAATTTGAGGTGCATGCCAGCCCGAGACCCGCCCACCATGCCACACAGCCAGGGCCGCTAGAACACTAAGAAGAATCACCACACTTCGTTTTAAATCAATTCTGACTTGAGCCGGTCCTGTGGATGGCCTTCGGGGAAGGGTCTGTGAGACAGTTGTGAGGAAGCAGGTGCCCCACCTCTGAGGGCTGGGGTGCTCTGGACCTTTGGGAAACAAAGTTGACAACAATGAAGCCCTTGAAGGCCCATGTTGTCAGGGATCCTGCCCTCTCCCAAAGCAATCTGATTCTTCTCCATCCTGTCACAGACTGTCCCTTGGCACCGGAGCCTGGGTGATCGCTGGGACTAGACAGCACAGGGGGAGACAGGACACCCTAATCCCTCTGCACATATCTCCCCAGTTCACACGGGCCGTGGTGTAACCTCCCAGCCTCCCCGTGTTGACACCAGCAGGGTTTCTGGCCAATGCCAGAGTTCCACAGCCTTCCCATGGGTGGGCTGGGTGTCTCCCTCAGAGACTCTCAGGGAGGGGACTTTGATCTTGGTCACCCTGGATGCCCGGAGGAGGAGTTCTGCATCCAGCCCCACGTTCCACTGTGTTGTGTGTTCCTGAGGAGGCACTCGCCACACCATGAGCTGTCAGGTACCAGGGCATGGATCCAAACCTCACCAGGAGGATTCAGTGGTCTCCCTGAGCCCCCGCTCCAAGTGTGAGAGGGAATGGTGAGTGATGGGAGGAGGTTTCCATCTGGGTGCCCGTACACTAGACCATGAGGCTGGTCAGCACATTTCCCCACAGTGCCCACCCACTGCCCCTGGATCCCACATTTAGGAGAAAGGAGAGTCTGGAGGCCTCTGGGAAAGTTCTGGACTCCCTTGGATGTACACACATATGTGTGCAGGTGACATGAGTGTGCTTGTCTTCATGTAACTGCTGGTGTGGCTGAGAGCCCAGTGGCCACTCTGACGAATATGGCAGTCACTAGTCAAGACAAGCACATATGTTAGAGTATGTTTCCTTCACATGCTTTTATACACACAGGTGCACACACATGCTCACATGCACACACGAGGGTACCACCCACATGTCTACTCACAAAAAGACATGTGCCCACACAAATGCACGACACGTTTTCATATGAGTACACACACACACATGCATGCACGTAAACATGTGCACGTCCACACATCATGCTCCTGACTTGGACGGGCTCTTGTCTCAATCTTTCCCTCTTTGGCCGTGCCAGCTTTAAGCCGTCTGGAGAAGAAGCCCTGTGGAATGAAGGACTAGCAGTTGCAGGTGTCACTGGAAGGTTGGTATAACCAGGGGTGGGGTCTTGACTCCTGACCATTCCAGCAGCACTGGTTCTGAGTACTCAGAGGTAGTTTGTGTGGGATCCCTGTCAACCAGAGCCGATGCTGCTACTGGTCCCCTGGGCTCTCCTTGGACTGTGGCCATCCGCATCACCTCCAGGCCCTGCTCAAGCATATGTGGTACCCTTCTGCCTGCATCTGGCATTTCTAACCCACCGTCTCGTTCCAGCCAGGTAAAGTTGAAGGCCGGAGCAGCTCAAAAGGGTGGAGGGTCATCCCTGTCCTCCCCCTACAGGGCCCTACCAGCAGGCTTGCGAGGTGCAGTGTGTCAATGGTCTCTAGGAATCCCCTCAAACCTGTGGTCCAGACGCTGGGGTCCAGCACTTCAATCCCTAGGCCCACAGACTCCGCCCACCTAGGAGGCATCTTCCTTACAGGGCAGGGGTGATGAAAACCCTGAAATCCCCCTCCTAAACTCTGAGTGTGAATCACCCCAGGCCTGCACCCAAAGGATCCCTTTGCTTTGCAGTGATTGGCTCAGTTATTTGAAACCCCTCCTCCTGGAGGCTGAGCTGGAGCTCCGAGGAGCTGAAGCCATAACTCAGGGGTGCGCTCTATGAATGGGGAGGAAACACTAACTCTTGCCTGCCCTTCCATTCAGGAGACTCCCCATAGGACAAGAGCCCCACTCTCCTGTCGACAGGAAAACCTGTGGGAAGAAAGATGGCCCTGAGATGTTTCTAAAGTCCTCAGGCCGAGGGGCTGTGGAGGGATCTTTGTAGAGCCCTGTTCCTTTCAGTTTACTACTCAGTAAGCTGTAAAAAGTGCACAGAAGAGTGCACAATCAAGAGAACTTTAAACACTGCAGATTTCCTGGACCTTGAAGCAGTGGGTGAGGAGGGGCCATCTGGCGGGTGAGAACCACCCTCAGGGGAGAACTGGGTGGTCTTAGCTGTGGGCTGTGCAGTCCCAGCATGATGAGGCTCTGTACCCACCCTCCACCCCCGTTTAGATACACTTTCCCTTCGATGCCGCCCTTCCTCACATGGTCATCAGCTCCCCATCCCCATTCACCTCCCTGCAGTCAGTCACCTGTCTGTACAGAATGTGAAGCCCCTCTTGGGGTGGATGGGGAGGTATGGAGGGCCAGGCCTGGTGGACTGCTTCCTCCCCCTCCAGGGGCAGGTCAGAAGGCAGGTGGGTTGGAGCCCATGTGACTGTAGAAAGCAGGCTCTCCCCTCATCTCCCTTTTTGGGAAGACCCTACCTAGGGCTTAGTCAAGTACTAATAGAGGGAGACAGCCAGGAGGGCTTCCTGAAAGCGGTGATGTGATGGGGCGGAGTCGGAGAGACCTGGAGAAGCTAATGAGACCCCATGTCTCCAAAAGCGCAAACAGGGGTCAGGGTTTTATATGTTGGAGTGTGCTGTCAGTGTGGGGCTAATAGCAGGCCAGGCAGGGGACTCATGGAGGGCAGAGAAGCTTCCAGAACCAGCAGAGCCAGGAGCAAGCATGGGCCCCTTCCAGACAGTTCAATGGCACCTGAGGGGCTCTGAGTCAGCCAATGAGGACACCATGTGTGCCTGAGGCCCCCCTCCAAAGATCCCTGAGCAGGCCAGCTGCCAAGAGGACCCCCATGGGCTGAGATTGGATATCCTACTCTGACGGGGTTTGGTGAGTCATTGCCTTAATACACACTGATGGTCTTCATGCCATGTGGCCCCACGGAGCAGAGACCTGGTCAGCATACCCCTCGACCTCTGAGCTACATGGACACCCAGCTCTGTACCCTTCTCCCACTGAAGGGCCTGCAGGAGCCAGCTCTGGAGGTCTGCAGCCTTGTGGGGGCACAGGGCCCTCACCACAACACACAGACTCCTTACTCGTGTCCTGCTGGGAACACCTTCCACACATGCGTGTCTGCACCCCTTGTGCACATGTGTTCACACCTCACACACGTGCTGGCCCTGTGTACATTGCCGCCCGGTCACCCCTGCCGTGTAGACGGCCCCGCTTCCTCCCATCTGCGCCGCTGCCTTGGCTGTTTTGCACTTTTGTTCATGCTCCAAAGAATACTTCGAATGCCTTCAGTACTGCCGTACACTTCTAACGTTTTGTATGTACTGAGCGTTGCCCCCTTGTCTACGTGAAGGTGTCACCCACACTACCCATCTCTCTGCACCTGTGCATTTTCTAGGAATAGACGCCCAGGGAATGAACTCTCGTTTTCTAACATTAGAAGGAGCTCGCTCACCCGAGTCACTGGTGGTGGGGCCCCAGGGAGGGACTGGCAGGGCATGCAGATGTGGTGTTCTGCGTGGGGACGCACTTGGATGCCATGACTTGTGGACTTAGTAAACACGGTGACTCCAAAGAGAGTGTGACCTCCTCACTGTCGTGTGCTGTCTTGGTCTCTGGAGATGGGATCAAGGTGAGAAGTTAGCAGGGAGAGGCCTGAGACACCACTTCCTTGTTCCCACAGAAGCCCTTGATGC